ATATAAATATAATATAATATAATATAATACAAATATATAAATATAATATAATATAATATAATACAAATATATAATATATAATATATATATATTATATTATGTCGTAACCGGTCAGCAGTTTTCATTTTCTCTCAATCGAAAGTTGCTCCTATAGGAAAATCCTTAATTAATTGATCGCCGAGCGAATGATCGCTAAACTAAGCGCAAATGTCATCCGAACAATTTTCGAGTATATTCTCCGGACCGTATCGAGCTTCACTTTCCCGTCCGCGGTCGCATTAAATCCACAGACCCGCGATAAATGACCCCGGTAGCCCGGGACCCGAGCAAGAAGACTATAGTTTATAGATCAACAATAGTTACGAAGGGACAGAGAGAGAGAGAGAGAGAGAGAGAGAGCAGGTTCCGTCCATGGAACACGGAAGACGGAAGTGTAGCTTTGCGAGAACGACCGACAAGGTTGCGCAAGAACCTCGCTGGGAACACGGTTGCCTTTGATCCGGGCCGCTCTCGGCCAGGTTCAACGTTTCCGTTTCTCCAACCCCCGACGCTCGTAGAAGCTTCGGCGTCCTTTTTCACGGCGTGTCCACCCCGCGAGCAGCCCCGGGAACAACGATCGCCCGTGCTCCGTCCGGAGAACGTCGCTCCCGTCGGAGACGTCAGGCGCCGAAAGGGTCGCCTGAGCGTGGAGCGGCCATAAGGCCGGTGGCACGATTAACGGCCGTCGAAGAAGTATTACGGAAGTATGACAACGGTAATAGATAACTGGAAACGAGCATCGACGCCGAGGACGCCCGTGCACGGGACGTATCGCGCCGGGTTTTTCGATCGGAGTCACGTTCGGCTTCGTTACGGTATTCAACTGGCTCCGAGAGTTAACGCGGAGAAATCATAGGATCGGCCATCAAGGACTTCGCAACTGGTAGCGGAATTGCCGCGCGTGCACGCCGAGCTGATCCGACCTTCTCTCGCTCTTTCATCTATCGCCGCCTCTTCGTCCCCGGAATTCGCCGATTTTGGGAATACAGTAATGTCTCCCTTACTGACGCTCAGGTTGTGCACAGAAATGGACGATTTGGGAAGAGGAGATACGATTATTCGAACCTTATTCGACTCGTTTTTATAGTTGTTGACAATCGATAACCATAAAAAACGAGCAACAAAGCTCGAACAATCGTATCTTCTCTTCCAAAATTGTCCATTTTTGTGGACAATCTGAGCGTCAATTAGAGAGACATTTCTGTACTTTGACTATTTGGGGCACAGGATTTCAGGAAATTAAATGGACCCATTTTGCGCGGAGATTTTATTGCGCTTGAAATTGAACGAAATTGGTATATTTTTATTAACAAAGGATAAAGCATGATATGAGAAACATGAAGAAATAATAATAATTCGATTCAATGCCACATGAGTTTATGAATGCGCATGCAGCTGTTGCAATATTTCGAGGTGGGTCTAAAAGTTTCCCACCATGCATTACCGTGCATCAAAAAGATGGGACATTTTTAATCCCAAATTATCGCGTCCTGCGATAACTAGTTATCGTGCGAAATTAGCTTTCGGCTCATAATACGACTTTATTTGAGTTAATGATCGACGGGGTAACGATTAGACGGCGGATTTTTATGCGAAATAAAAATTGTTTCCCTCGATTGCAATTAACCCTTTGCACTCGAAGCTATTTTAACTGTAAATCTAAAATAATTTTTCTGACTTGTAGCATTTTCATTTTACATGACAAAGTGCATTTTATGCGCACGAAATTGAGTCTTGTGACTCATACGGCAGTTGTTGCATTTTCAACAATTTTTTAAATCTAAACTTTGTTGATATAAAAATCACCTTAGAACGCGACGTAACAAATTTGGTGCCTCAGAGTCACCAGCCGAGTGCAAAGGGTTAAAAGATGTCATATGAAAATATATTTTCTCCGTTAATTATTAAATTGTATATTATAATAATGTAATGTAATGATAATTATGCAATGTATAGTATAATAATTAAATTGAAAACAATGCAACAGTATTTTTAAGATCATTCATTGTTCCTCGTCTCGTCTACACAGTTTTGTCATAAATGCATAAAATCCGCCGTAATGATCCTCCAGTAATGATCAAACTGCGGGTTTTTATACGATATAAAAATTATGTTACGTTGTCACTGCGCTGTGCAATCGGATCGAACCAAATAAAAAAGAATGATGTTTATAAACTGCAAGAAACGTGAGTCAAACAGAAATTCCCTCCTTCCTGAAATAATTTCAGTGAATCGAAAATAATGTTTCAAAATCTTATAATGCTATCATCGTTTGAAATTTCTCCTGCTCATTCATGCCACAAGTGCATCGAATCCGCAGTCTAGTAACGATTCTTCCAATTTTTCCAGTGTACATCGAAACTGTTTAATCCCGAGGTTATTAAACTGCGACACCATCGGGTTGATAAACTCGTTTCACTTTTCTTTTACACTGGATCGTTTCATAGCAAGTGGATCGTTGGACAAAAAGCGTTAGCGATAATGTCCTCCATGTTGGAGGAACTATGACTCAAGCGATGACTGGATCGCGGATCCTCCAGCGAAGTCCTACTTTCACTCGTTATTTTGTATAGTAAATATCAGGATGAAGGAACAATTAGGCACGCCATTTTAACACGTTGGTCGCGCGGACATCGGACGAAACGACCGATGATTGGACGAAATTAAGGCAATTCTTTAAATAAAGCATACGCTGGTAAGACGAGATTCGCGACAAAGATTGTCTTTGCTGTTTCGACAGGCTAATTTGCAATATGTTGACGTAACAACGAATCGTCGTGTTTGAGCAGAATTACTTCGCCGACGCTGAACAAAATCGTTTCTCGAGTCTGAACGAAATAGTTCGTCGAGTCTGAACGAAATAGTTCGTCGAGTCTGAACGAAATAGTTCGTCGAGTCAGAACGAAATGCTTTGTCGAGTCCTGCCAAAATATTTTATCGAGTCCGAAATAAAATGCTTGACCAAAAAATCGCTATCCGCCAATCCCATAAATATACACCCGCTCGACTTTCACCGTGGTCTCGGACCGGCCGTAGGACCCTCGGCGAATAATAAAGCCACGATAATAACAACAATGGTAATATATAGCCGGCAGTCGGCTCGAAAAAGAAGCAAGAAGCCGTCGATACATGAAAACCGAGCCCGTACGTCATCCCCCTAGCCGCAGGTCGCAACCACCATGCCACCGATTCCCGGAATGTCGGTTCTGTTCCCGATGCCATAGACTCTATGGGAAGTTGTAACGTCGCCAAGTAACAACGACTGCTGCGCGAAACGTTCGCGACACTGTCCAACCATTCGGCCTTGACGGCGCATTGAAGAGTCACCGAAATCAGCACGGTACCTGTTATCTAGTTGATCGGATCGTCTCCGAGCGTAACCTCGACATAACCTTGCAAGAATAGTTTATCAACTGGCGCTGTTAGATAAGCGAAATCTCGGAGAACGACGAGACGTTGGCAGAAATATGAACACTTGTTGCCTGACATCAAGATTGCAAATGATCAAAAAGAACCTTTTGGATGCCCTAATTTCTATAGACTGCGAATTTCACGCATTTCTAAACAAAAATATGTAGATCAGTCTGAAAGCAGTAAAAACGTTTGGACTATTTGAAAACGTTACTGCGTTATTTGCAAGTCGATCGAATTATTCAGGAAGGAAATAAATGTTTCCGTGGCTCCTGTGTCTTGCAGTTGAAACGAATGCGGCTGATTTTTATATCGCATAAAAATCCGCGGTCTACTAATCGCCTAGGTGCGTCTCGCGCGATTCCAGCCGATGAGAAGGTCGAACAGAGATCTCTCTAGAGGACGGCAGGGATCGGACGCGATTTTCCCGAAGAAACGAAGAACGAGAGACACGCGGAAGGTGTACCTGGATCTCCCTTGGGATCAGCCTGGTCCGTGACTAGTCGGTCCTCGTGATTACTTCATCGGCGCGTTCGCTCGCTCCGAATCCTGGTGTCCCGTTCGCTGAATAGTTCGGCTCCCGGTGCCGGTGGCGATCGCGTGCGGCTCGGTCGCCATTCTGATACTCTAAACGCGGCTCCCCGAATCCCTCGAATCACTCGTTCATCTTCGAGACCGAACCCTTTTTTTCCTCAACTGAAATCACAGGCGGCCGACAACTGTTGCACTCGAGGGTCCCCAGGTGGCTGGGACCTGGTCCGACGTCCTTGAACTGCTCGCACGCGGCTCACTCTGTTCTCGCCCAATCCTCGAACTTATCCACTGTCTCGGATCTAGGTCAACGGCGAATAGACGCCTCGTTTCATCTTCGGAGGTACGGCTCGCCGAACGGACCCCTTCGAACAGCTGACCGAGGCACTCAGGCCGGAAGGATCGAAATCCTAGGGAAAATCCTTCGAGTCATCGTTGCGAGTCACTTTCCGAGGACACGTTCGTGCCTCCGATCAGTTCATCGAACAGCTGATCCAGGATTTCTCTATCTGCGCGAAGATTTTTCAGTAGATCCACGTTCCTGGGATTTCGCAGCGAGCTGTCGATCGGTCGATTCACCGAGGTGTGTGTCCCCGAACAGCTGATCGTGATCCAGATTCCGGCAAGACGATGTGTAGCAACCGTCGAATAGGATCTTGTACTAGGTCACTGACGGGCCGGCCGATTCGACACGGTTCTCCGGATGTCATCGACGAGATGGGGGGAACCTCGCAGGAACCGCGATCCCGCGATCGTGACCAGACGATGGCACGACGTGTCCTGCTGACGCGGAGGATTCGGTCGAGTCAGCCAACGAAATGGTCGAGGTTTAACCGTGACGGACGCCGGGCTGGCACTGAACGGCTTAACCGGTATAGAACCACTGACCATCACCATCGCAGCCATCACCCGGCCCTCCTCGTCTCCTTCCTTCTCTTGGCCGCGTGTTCTCTTCCTTGGCTAGATCCTCTCTCTTTCTCTCTCTCTCTTTCTCTCTGTCCCGCTCTCCCTCCACCTTTCTCTCTTGTCCGGCTGTCTCTCGGCCCTCTTCGCCGCTTCTCCTGTTTCTCGTTCACCCTCTTCTTTTCTACCGCTAACTACTATCGCCACCGTCGCTCGTCCTTCTTACGGCTCCGGTACCACGCTGCGTCTTCGGCTATTCAAGGTCATCTCGGGGTAATACGTCAAAATCATGGCACGCGCGCCGATTCGGCCGTTCGATCTGGTTCAATTATAGATCCGATTGGGTGATTAACAGATTCGAGGATTAAAGTCAAATTGTCTGCCTAAACTGCGAGATCTAGAGCAGCCAAACTTTTCTTGTTTTCGGGGCCTTTTCTCGTTTCTGCAATCATTTTGGCGAGCGCGAACCGATACAGTAATTTCTCCCTAATTCGCGCTCGGCTCGCGCAAAGAGAAAAATGAATTGCGCTCGTTTTCGCGGTGGCCGATCGTAGATCCGATTGGCGGATCAATAGATTCGTGGATCAAAATCAAAATTGTCTGCCTAAATTGCAAGATCTAGAGGAGCCAAACATTTCTTGTTTTCGCGGCGTTTACTCGTTTCTGCAATCATTTTGGCGAGCGCGAACCGATACAGTAATTTCTCCCTAATTTGCGCTCGGCTCGCGCAAAGAGAAAAATGAATTGCCCTCGTTTTCGCAGTGGCCGATTGTAGATCGGATTCGTGGATCAAAATCAAAATTGTCTGCCTAAATTGCAAGATCTAGAGGAGCCAAACATTTCTTGTTTTCGCGGCGTTTACTCGTTTCTGCAATCATTTTGGCGAGCGCGAACCGATACAGTAATTTCTCCCTAATTCGCGCTCGGCTCGCGCAAAGAGAAAAATGAATTGCGCTCGTTTTCGCGGTGGCCGATCGTCGACGATTATAAAAACGAGGTGCGAGGCTCGAATAATCGTACCTACTCTTCCCGAATCGTCTATTTTCAGTGCGCAATCTGCGCGCGAATTAAGGAGAAATTACTGTACATCGACGTCCGCAGTTTCTTTTCATATTTCCACTGTTTGCAGTGGTAAATGCATAAAATCCGCAGTCCGCAATGATCGGCGTCTATTCTATTGACCGTTTTTATGGTCCCGCTATTAGGTGATATTTTCTTGGACTCGGCAGTAACGTCGGCGAGCTAAGAATTAATTGCGGTACGTACTTTCTTTCGCTAATGATTTTAACGAATTAAAAACATGGCAATACTGTACTGTATCCCCTTGGCCATCTCGTTAATGACCTCGGCAAATGAAAAATTAAACAGTTAGACGCCTCTCGCGTTCCACAACTCGGTTTCTTCCCTCCGCTAATGGCTCCAGTAAATTAGAAACCAAATCGATCTACACACAAGATGCTTTCGGATCTTGTGTATCGCACCTTCGTGTAGGCTGTTCTTTTTTTCTCTTTTCTTTTTTCTTTTTCTTTTTTTTCTTTCTTTCCTTCTTTCTTTTCGAGCACATAAAATTTCGCAGTCTGATAATCGCGGTACAGATGTAACTATTAATTTGAAGTAAAAGCTACTTTCTGTAATTGTTGATCACAGGTCGTTGCAATTACCTTGATTATAATGCCGGGCAAGCAAATAATTGACTGTTGCGGAAAGTAATTCGTGCTAGAATTAATTGCCGCATTCTAATCGGATCACAGTTCGCACTGTTCTGCGGTCTCGCTAGTGTTTTTTCTTTGCCAGACTTTCCACTGATACTAAAAAAAAAAAGAAAAAAAGGAAAATGACGCAGCAGGATTTTTTGAAATTTCAGAAGCAAAAAGTTATTCTAGGGTAAACACGGGTAACTCGGTGATAATTTCATACTTTTCTTGCTGAATCATGCTATTGGCTTGCTGTGGGGCTGAGTAATGGATGCAACGCTAGGTCAGACGTTTATGCGAACAAATAATGGGCGAAGAGAAATTGAAACAGAAATATCGCATTAAAAAGAACATCTTCAGGTCTACGTTCAAGTTACAGGCAATTGATCCGATCTTATTTGTGAAATATTATTTAAGAAATAAGAATTTACTTGTCTTTCGTAAACAATAATAAAACTGTTATCGTTATAAATGACAATTTAATGCTCACATTTGAATAACGTTTCAAGGTATTTTTGAACAACACATAATTGCATAATACGCGCTCTTCCAAAATTAGCACGAAAAACGATGCATTCCTTATAATTGACTGCAAGAAAACGCAAAACGTTACGCAAAACGAATTTGCGTAAACTGTTTACCTAACTGCTAACTCGCTTATTCCTTGCCTATAATAATATTAGTTTTTGTTCTTTATTGTAAAAATGAGTTTTCATCCATACATGTAAAATAAACAAACAAACAAAAATAAATAAATAAATGTTAATCTATTCGACACGAACAAATTCGCACGTAATATTCGCAGCGCATTCACTTCGATAGGTGACAAAAGCAGCCCACGCTGCGACGTTAAAACAGATCATGCATTTTTCATAGCCATCCGAGTACCACGAATAGACCGCGGATCTTCGTGCAAAATAAAAGGTATCATCAATTGCAACAAATAGCAACCGAATAAAAGGTTGTTTCCTGTTTCAATAATTTTGACAAGATTACAATAACGTGTCCGATAACTTTTCAAATCTACCGACAGTCTTCCAGCCGCGTAGTCCATCTTCTCGTATCAGCCATAAATTCTTAGAAACCGCGGTCCGATCGTGAAAATAAGATACGATCGAAGCGATTCCATCTCCCATTGAGAAAACGCCAACAAATGAGCCGTTTATTTTGAAAGTGTGGCATAAGTCACTTTGTTTTTAAGTCGATATATTTAAGGGTTTGCGTTTTAACACGTTTAAAAATATGGATGCTAACTTTCGAGAAGATTTACTTGTATTTGTTATCTCAGGATACTGATATTTCTCTCGGTATAAATAATTTCGTATAAACATTAAAAAATCACTACTTTTCATTACGGTAAAGTGACTTATGCCACTTTCAAAATAAACGGCTCAAATATGACGTGTGTCCGGCAGTGGCGTCTCTCCTACGTTCACCCTAACCCGAGTTCGCCCTGCGCGCGGCTCCCGTCCCCCGGACATGTTTATGGAGAAGGAACAAATTGGCCAGCGATTTTCGCCGCTTCCCGTCTAAACGCACCAAAGAAACGAGCCTCTCCATGCAGCGATCCGCGCAATCTTAATCGCCGGCGGAAGCGTGTTCACTGCCGAGGTTACGTTCGGCCGAACAGTTATCGCGGCAATTCAGCGGTCGTTTCAGCAACGAAAGCGCCGCGGTGCCACGGTCCGCGAGGCCGACTACGAGCCCGAATCAGACAGCGTGACCGGACAAAATGCTCCGGCCTCGCGGTTTCGCGGATTCTATGCACGTACCGAAAAACGGAGCAACGGCACACGCGCGAAATCCTCTCCGCCGGCGCGGCTCGCGAGACGAGAGGATTCCCCCTGGTCTCTCGAGTTCAGCCGGAACGAGGCCGAACGATTCTCATTGTGCCCGATCCGCGCGTCTGCTCACGGGGTAGCGTCCCGCGTTTTCTCAACGGAATTATTCACCCTTTCACGCCGGTATAATTCAGCCGCGACGCGCACCGGGAGGACTTTCTCTTCGTTGCCCTGTGAGCCGGGGACTGTATCTCGTTTTTACGATCATTTCGGCGACATGATTTCTCGCCGATTCTTCCAGATAGAGCGACGTCTCTCGAATTCGCGCTCGGATTGCGCATAAAAATGGACGAACTGCGACGAGGAGATACGATTGTTCGTGCCTTGTGTCCCGTTTTTTATTGTCGGCGTGCCGCGAGGCTCGAATGATCGTGTCTCCTCTTCCCAAATTATCCATTTTAGTGGATAATCTGAGCGTCAGTAAGGGAGACATTACTGTAGAGTAATGTCTCTCTAATTGACGCCCAGATATTCGAGTCTTTTGACTCATTTTTATAGTTATAAATTGTCAACAATTATAAAAACGAGCCGCAAAGCTCGAATAATCGTGTCTCCTCTTCCCAAATTATCCATTTTAGTGGATAATCTGAGCGTCAGTAAGGGAGACGTTACTGTACAGTAATGTCTCTCTAATTGACGCCTAGATATTCGAGACTTTTGGCTCGTTTTTATAGTTATAAATCGTCAACAATTATAAAAACGAGCCGCAAAGCTCGAATAATCGTGTCTCCTCTTCCCAAGTTATCCATTTCAGTGGATAATCTGAGCGTCAGTAAGGGAGACGTTACTGTACAGTAATGTCTCTCTAATTGACGCCTAGATATTCGAGACTTTTGGCTCGTTTTTATAGTTATAAATTGTCAACAATTATAAAAACGAGCCGCAAAGCTCGAATAATCGTGTCTCCTCTTCCCAAGTTATCCATTTCAGTGGATAATCTGAGCGTCAGTAAGGGAGACGTTACTGTACAGTAATGTCTCTCTAATTGACGCCCAGATATTCGAGTCTTTTAGCTCGTTTTTATAGTTATAAATTGTCAACAATTATAAAAACGAGCCGCAAAGCTCGAATAATCGTGTCTCCTCTTCCCAAGTTATCCATTTCAGTGGATAATCTGAGCGTCAGTAAGGGAGACATTACTGTACAGTAATGTCTCTCTAAATGACGCCCAGATATTCGAGTCTTTTAGCTCGTTTTTATAGTTATAAATTGTCAACAATTATAAAAACGAGCCGCAAAGCTCGAATAATCGTGTCTCCTCTTCCCAAGTTATCCATTTCAGTGGATAATCTGAGCGTCAGTAAGGGAGACGTTACTGTACAGTAATGTCTCTCTAATTGGCGCCCAGATATTCGAGTCTTTTGGCTCGTTTTTATAGTTATAAATTGTCAACAATTATAAAAACGAGCCGCAAAGCTCGAATAATCGCGTCACATCTGCC